GGGGGGGGGGGTGCAGAGGGGGTACAGGGGGCGTGGGGGGGCGGCCCCTTTAGCCACGCTCACAAATATATGGAGACAAATCAGAAATGAGGAGCCGGTGGTTTGCAAATCTGGTGGATTTGAGTCAGAAACTTCTGCATTAAAGCCGCTAATCTTAGCTTAAATTAGCTTAGCTTAGTTTAGCTTCTAGTCAAATGGACGCTGCCGGTTATTTATGAGCTCAGGAATACACAGATAAATGTTTTTAAATCTTTATTGTAGTCTAGTCTGATCAACTGGTATTTTCACAGCAGTATAAAAGTTACATCAACATAAAATGAAATAATTGTTATGGCGTCTGTATCGAAACTTTCTGACCCAGCTTCTTAAGTAAGCTAATGAAGCTTTTTTAGCTGTGTACCGTTTCCACATGGGGGGATGGGGGGGGGGGCATCATCTTTAGCCACGCTCACAAATACAGGGAGACAAATCAAGAAACGAGGGGGTGGCACTTTGGAAAATTTGGTGGATTTTAGTCAGTAACATCTGCATTAAAGCCGCTAATCTTAGCTTAAATTAGCTCAGTTTAGCTTATCTTCTTGTCAAATGGATCCTGCCGGTTACTTATGAGCTCAGGAATACACAGATAATCATTCAAGCCCATTTCTTGGACGTAAACGGGTTCAGAACTGCTACACACTTACACAGGAAGCACAGGGTGAGGCAAAAGTCACAGGACACCTTTTCATTTCAGAAACTGGAGGATAAATGACTTTTCTGAACACCCCAGCATGAGGTGGGTGAGGGGGCCAGAAACATGGCCGCCATCTTGAAAGCCGCTATATTCGATCAAAGGCTAATTATCCTAGTGGGAAGGAGCTCATGTAGCGAATCAGATGAGACCAGAATGGTCTCGGAAACCAGCCGTTTTCCCATTTTTGTCTCTTTAGTTCTGGACACTGGGAGCCTAAATGCTGCTTTACTGCTCTGTTTGAATGTTTCTAATGTATTCCTTCATCCAAAGAAGCCTGGAAACCTGTTCCTGAAGAAGCAACTCACAGCTTGTCTCAGAGGATTCAGGCTGAGAAAAAAGGAGAAACATATCGACTTTACACTTGTTTAAAAGCTCTGATCGGTTTATGTTGACTGGCTGATTTTTGACCTGTAGAGCAGAAAATTGTTTGTTTTTTCAGGTAAAAAAAAAAAAAGAACCTATTTTTCCGATCTCGTTCGTGAATGACTCCTGAGTCCTGAGGGAAGCGGCGATATTTCCTGATGCTAACTGACATTTTCTGCCCCCTGCAGAGGAGAGAGGCCCTGAGGGGCAGCCTGCCCAACCTGAGTTCGGCCAACCGACCCTCCTGTAAGTCCAGAAAATGTGTACACATATATACATGTAT